AGTACGTTTTTGGTTTTTATTACTCGAAGTCATGAGACAACTGGTCACACCGTGGTGATGGGCCTACTTACTTTAAAATGCTCTTCAAAAGTCGGAAATTTGTTCTACACGAAGCTTTCCAAGTGACGTGTTTACGGTTTTTGTTGACCAAACTAATATGCGGGCGAAATAGAACAAAATCGTGCAAAAAGATACCAAAAACGCCTAAATGATTGAAGGACCATGCAATGTTTATACAAGAAGAAAAAGGCGACATTATTAAGTTCCGCAGGTTCCGCAAGTTCCGCAGTTCAGTGGTCTATATGTGTTTGTCCGACGATCATGGATATAAGAAGAATTATGCCAGCATACTGGTCTTCAATAACGTCTTTAGACGAATAAGTTGGCAAATACTTCATTACTTCAGAAATGCTGGGTGTCATGTGACTAGCCGATCCCAGGGCCATTTTCGCCGACCTTAAGCCGTGCAGGAAAAATGCCCTGGGGACGTGGTTATTTGAATTCACTGACATTTGGGTATTTAATGTGAGCATATAGCTATTATTGCCCACATGGTGAAAAAATCGTGCGTATTGCTCTATATAAGATTTGCTGTACAATCTTTGACAATATACAACATTGGTGGGACAATCTAGTTTTTTACATGCATTCAGATGTGCATCGCTTGGTACATTTATTCCACCCTCCCCTCTCACTCATTCCAATGTTGAGTCTGGCAAAACGATAGATGACGGTCCTTACATGCACGAGGCACTAATAATTCAGTCGTTGTTTGTACATAGGTTAGATAGTCTACATCATCTTCATCTACATTGTTTGATATTTGTTATAAAAAGCTTTCAGACATTATAGACAAGCATATTCCAGTTAAACAACTTTCCAAAAGAGAATTGAAAATACAGTCAAAGCCTTGGATATCAACTGCTATAAGAAAATTTATACAGGTCAAAAATGAATTCTATAAAAAATATCTTAAAACTAACCCCCTTATTATCATTCCAAATTTGAGTTCTATAGAAATAAATTAAATCATCTTCTGCGAATAAGTAAAAGAAACTGCTATAGTGATTATTTTAACAAAAATACAAATAATGGTAAGTTAATTTGGAAAGGTATAAAACAAATTATTCGGGTTAATCCTAAACATATCAAACACCTGTAAAGATTATGGATAATAATCGTGAAATAACTGACAAAAATGAAATTGCTAATATTCTATGTGGATATTTTTCTAATATTGGTGAACAGCTTGCGAGCGCTATACCAAATGTGAATAAATCACCATTAGATTACATGGCCACGTCTCCTACCGAATTTCATCAAAGATGAAATTTCGAAATTAAACCACGGAAAAGCAACTGGGCCGTATAGTATTCCAGTTAAAATTTTGAAAATCATCAAATATGTCATATCAAAACCTCTTGAGATGTTATTTAATATCTCTTTCTCTTTGGGTGAGGTACCAAGTAGTTTTAAGATAGCAAAAATAATTCTAGTTCATAAGGGTGGATCTCAGTGTTGTTTAAACAATTATCGACCAATTTCACTTCTTTCTATATTTAATAAATTGCTGGAAAAACTTATGTATAATAGGTTAATTGACTTTCTTGATAAGAGAAATATGCTGTATGAAAAACAATTTGGTTTTCGTGCCAATCATTCTACTAATCATGCAATTTTAAGTATCATTGATAAAATACAGTTATCAATAGAGGAACGAAGTTACTCCTGTGGAATATTTCTTGACTTTAGTAAAGCCTTTGATACAGTTGATCATAGTATTTTAATTAAAAAAGTGGATAAGTTTGGAATTCGTGGAATTGCAAGTGAATGGTTTGCTTCGTACCTTACGAATAGACAACAGTACGTTTCCTTAGACAATATTTTATCTGATTATAATGCAGTCACTTGTGGTATTCCTCAGGGGTCAGTTCTCGGTCCTCTTTTATTTCTAATGTATATAAATTATTTCAATAGGCGCACGGAAATCTTAGATTTCCATCTTTTTGCAGATGATTCTAACTTATTTTACAAACATAAGAATCTTGTAGAGCTTCAAACAAATCTAAATATGGAATTACATAATATTCATGTTTGGTTGTGTGCTAATAAGCTGTCTCTAAATGTTGATAAATCAAACTTTGTGATATTTCATCCTCCTCAAAAGAAAATAAATGATAATATAAAACTAAATATTAATGGTAAAGAATTAAAAAGACATTTCTGTATTAAATATCTTGGTGTCCTTATTGATTCGCATTTAAATTGGAAAAACCAGGTTGACTATTGTAAAAAAGATTGTAAAAAAGATTAAACGAACTATGGTGATTATCTCTAAACTTCGATATTATGTCAATAAAAGTATTCTTCTCAATATCTATTATGCATTAGTACATCCCTTCCTAATTTATGGTATACTTGCTTGCAGGGGTAATACTTATCCAACTACGCTTAAGCCACTGCAAATATTGGGAAAAAAAGGCAATACGTTTAATGACCTTCTCCAAATTTGATGCACACTCAAGCCCCCTGTTTAAAGACCTTAAAATAATAAAGTTTCTTGACCTTGTTAATTTACATATTACAATTTCATGCATAAATTTCATAATAATAATTTGCCAACTGTATTTAATTAATAATCTCTTTACTCCTGTCAACCAGACACATAATTACAATACTAGACTTGCATCCAAATCGTCCTACTCTATTCCCAAAACAAGAACAAATTATGGAATTTTCAATAAAAAAAAAGCTCTATCTCTTTCCTCGTTAAAAAAAGAATTTAAAAGCTAATTTTATCAATGGTTATTGATAAATTATGGCTAATTTGGTAACCATTTAATATCTCTTTCTCTTTGGGTGAGGTACCAAGTAGTTTTAAGATAGCAAAAATAATTCTAGTTCATAAGGGTGGATCTCAGTGTTGTTTAAACAATTATCGACCAATTTCACTTCTTTCTATATTTAATAAATTGCTGGAAAAACTTATGTATAATAGGTTAATTGACTTTCTTGATAAGAGAAATATGCTGTATGAAAAACAATTTGGTTTTCGTGCCAATCATTCTACTAATCATGCAATTTTAAGTATCATTGATAAAATACAGTTATCAATAGAGGAACGAAGTTACTCCTGTGGAATATTTCTTGACTTTAGTAAAGCCTTTGATACAGTTGATCATAGTATTTTAATTAAAAAAGTGGATAAGTTTGGAATTCGTGGAATTGCAAGTGAATGGTTTGCTTCGTACCTTACGAATAGACAACAGTACGTTTCCTTAGACAATATTTTATCTGATTATAATGCAGTCACTTGTGGTATTCCTCAGGGGTCAGTTCTCGGTCCTCTTTTATTTCTAATGTATATAAATTATTTCAATAGGCGCACGGAAATCTTAGATTTCCATCTTTTTGCAGATGATTCTAACTTATTTTACAAACATAAGAATCTTGTAGAGCTTCAAACAAATCTAAATATGGAATTACATAATATTCATGTTTGGTTGTGTGCTAATAAGCTGTCTCTAAATGTTGATAAATCAAACTTTGTGATATTTCATCCTCCTCAAAAGAAAATAAATGATAATATAAAACTAAATATTAATGGTAAAGAATTAAAAAGACATTTCTGTATTAAATATCTTGGTGTCCTTATTGATTCGCATTTAAATTGGAAAAACCAGGTTGACTATTGTAAAAAAGATTGTAAAAAAGATTAAACGAACTATGGTGATTATCTCTAAACTTCGATATTATGTCAATAAAAGTATTCTTCTCAATATCTATTATGCATTAGTACATCCCTTCCTAATTTATGGTATACTTGCTTGCAGGGGTAATACTTATCCAACTACGCTTAAGCCACTGCAAATATTGGGAAAAAAAGGCAATACGTTTAATGACCTTCTCCAAATTTGATGCACACTCAAGCCCCCTGTTTAAAGACCTTAAAATAATAAAGTTTCTTGACCTTGTTAATTTACATATTACAATTTCATGCATAAATTTCATAATAATAATTTGCCAACTGCATTTAATTAATAATCTCTTTACTCCTGTCAACCAGACACATAATTACAATACTAGACTTGCATCCAAATCGTCCTACTCTATTCCCAAAACAAGAACAAATTATGGAATTTTCAATAAAAAAAAAGCTCTATCTCTTTCCTCGTTAAAAAAAGAATTTAAAAGCTAATTTTATCAATGGTTATTGATAAATTATGGCTAATTTGGTTAATTTTCGTAGATTGTTTATTTTCTATGTAATGATTAACAAAATCTCCTAAATGATGTGCAGCGGTTGTTTTCTTTGTTTTCTTTGTCTGTGTGTTCTCTCTCTCCGTATTTCGACCTAGTGTGTTTATACCCATCATACAAATCGTATCTATCATCCAAAAAATAATTGTGAATCTTTCACTATAGTGATCTGGCTGCCCAACATCTAGCCCTTTATGGTTATTACGGGTAGCCAGTACCTATATTTGATATATTATAGTAAGGGCCTGTTCATATGGGAAAAAGTTATCCCGGTTAACGAGAAAACTTTTCGACTAGCCAAATACTTTTGTTCTGTTCATATGGAGAAACGTTATCCTGATTGTAACTGTAGCAGCCGCGACTTCCGGCTGACGGACTTCCGGGTTTTTCGCGCCATTTTTAGATTGAAGTAGCTTAGCGATATCGAACTTTGGGGCGCTTTGTTGTGTTGCTGACTTGTTCCTACGTTTTTCGCCAGATACCAGTGTCCTGTCATAGATATTTGTAAGTAGATTGTCAGTATTTATATCTGTTTCTGTCCAGTATTCAGTAATTCGTATTTATCCGTGTAATTCCTGTATATTTGTGTTTGTATTTAGCACCGTTCGTTATTGATTGAAAATAAATTAAGAATTATTTGAAACGCGTTGAAACTCGAGGCCCCACAACCAGTTTAAACAGCCGTGGGGCTGGCACAGTGAAATATCTTCTCGGCGACTCAAAACAGCAAGAACTACGTTATGGAAACCCATGCAGATGAAGCAACGACAGAGCCAACCGGCCAGAATAGTCCCGTTTTGAACGAGAATAACTTTACAAACGTGATCGAAATCGGACACGAAAATAAACCACACAGCGATCAAGACAGTTTAAGCGAAGTCACAGAGTGTCGTCGAAGCACTAGAGAGAGAAAACTAAACCAAAAAGGTAAAGAATACATTTTAGATTTAAAGAGAAATATATTCAAACAAACAAAGTGTTGTCTAGTTGATAAATTATCGTCGCTTAAAACGGAAGTAAGCACTCTAGAAGGATCGAGTATTACATACGAAATTGAACAACTAGAGACTTTAGTCAAAGAATTTAATCAGGGTTTGGACGAATTACTAAAACTGCTTGAACCCGAACAGCGTGAAAGCTATATTACAGAGTGTCAAAGCGTTTTGAACGACTGGAACAATGTGAAGGGTTCGTTAGTTCTAAATATGCAAAAATATGAAATCGACAACATCCGGTCTAACCACCAGGTGTCATTACCGGAAGACAGAAAATCAACCACTTCCTCTGTTCGTACTTCCTCTTCTATACAAGAGAAAAAGCTGCAAGCCCGCGCGAAAGTAGCCGCGCTCCGAAGTAAAATTGTAGTAGAAGAGGAGATTATCGAACAAAAAAATTTGCTAGCCAAACATGAAGCCCACTTAGAGAAATTGAAAATGAAGCAACAATTAGCCGAAGCAGAAGCAGAAGTAGAGGTTTACGAAGAAGCCGAAAACGACCAAGATCAAATTCCTGCCCTCCCTAAAAATAGATTTCCGTCTCCAACCACAAGTAATAACAACCTGAATAATAAAATAACTCGAGATAATGTAACGCCAGCACCCCTCCCAGTTTCGCAAAATGTGTCAGCACCTGATAAATCCATGAACTACAATGCACCTCCTTTTATTCCTCCACAAAACAGCATACGCTCAGCCCCAGTCCAACAACAGATTTTGGTGCCTGGTAACGAACAGATACCCCACACCCCCACATCAGTGCCTGAAAATAGGCAGCTGTATGATAGTAATAAAGTTATTTTAGAAGCATTGTCCCTCCAGAGACTGCCTAAACTTACACCAAAGGTATTTGAAGGTGACGAAATGGAATTTCTGCGTTGGGAATCATCCTTTGACGCCCTAGTGGCTTCAAACACCAATGACTCCAAGACCATGTTGCATTACCTATGCAAGTTTCTGAAAGGAGAACCACTGAAGATGGTAGAACATTATCAGGACTTACACCACGATGCTGATACCGCTTATCGTCGAGCTCGAGAGGAGTTGAAATACAGGTATGGCAACGCCAGCGTTCTCACCGCAAGTATTGACAAAAAGCTAACCGAGTGGCCCAAGATTGGAAGAGATAGTAATCGCGAGCTTCTACATTTTAGCGACTTCCTGAATCAAGTTGAGGCGGCCATGAATAAGTACACCGCACTAAAATTCTTCGATTGTGCCAGAGAACTAGTTAAGTTGGCAGAAAAACTACCTGGATGGGCACAGAATGAATGGAAACGGAAAGTCTGGCAATACAAAGAGATAAACGGTGAAGAAAGTTTCCCCCCTTTCTCGCGTTTTGCAGAGACAGTGAAGGTGCTCGCCCGACGTGCCAATATGCCCGAATTTGGCATGACCACAAAACAAGAAGAGAGCCGAAGAAAAGGGTTCGACAACCAAAGAGCCAAAAGGAACTCGAGTAAGAACTTTAGCGTCTTTGGTACACGAGTAAACCAAGGAAATAAAAACGACAAGAGTACCCAGTTTAGCCCAGAGACATTCGGAGAAAGATCTCAGGACCGCAGTCATCAGCGCAAGATGTTCTGTTTTCACTGCCAGAAAGA